CTGAAAAATCTGAAAGCAATGGGTTTCTATACTCATTACATAAACTGTAATTATGTTCCAAATAGGTATAACTTTCATTCTCTTTTCTTTAGAATTTGTGAGAACTTCATAAAAGCTAAACACTGTAGTGAAGTGGAACGCATTTGGAAGATACAGATTTCAGGCTGCCTTGTTTAGAACCACTAAGTGCATTGAAAACTAAATTTTCATGGGGCTCTTCTTCATTTCTCCCTCCTGTTTCAAACAGCAGCAGCTGCTGGTGGCCAGTAACTTCCACAAATTTCCTGGGGGCACAGAAGTACTCTTCACCTTCCTGTTTAATATAAGGAGCCGTGTGAAAGGCCAGTGAACAAGCCCTGGAGACCTTCCTGTGTTCTACCACGGATGGATTCCAAAGGTCACGATCACCGTAGTTCATGAAGGGATCATCAATCCTTGAGCAAGAAGAATTTGTCTGTATTCCAAAGGAAGGACTTGCTTCAGCACTGGCGCTTTCTTATTTCCCTGACATTTTCTCAAACAAATTGAGTTTAACATGGGCAATACAGGTTACGGGGTATAATTGATAGGTCAACTTTTTTAAAAGTCAGTAAATCCTCTTATGGACTTTCATTTTACACATTTGTTCAGACTTAGTTTTCTTAAATTGGGTGTAGGAATACTCTGGTATTTTGGAATTATGTGCATGAAGTACTTATTGTGATCATTCACTGACTCACTCTTTTAATCTGATTTCCCCTTTTTTGTGTTGGTCTACCCATGAGACCTGCACCTCACCTATGCCTAAGACCTTTGTGTTTGCAGCTGGATTAAGTATGAAAAGAATTAGGCTTTTTAAGAAGAAAAGTCCTCAGTGATTTTGAAGCCTCATCAGTATTGGCTTAAGTCTCTAATCATGAGGAAGTATGTGGTTCTTAGTCAAACTGGATCTTTCTAAGTTAAAAAAAGTAGTAAGACACCAAAAATGACTGTTGTCCAACTAGAGTCTGTGCATTTAACCTCCAATGATCATATTCCCCAAGTTTAGAGTCTCATGGGCTATAGTTATTCTTTGGCTTTTTTTGGAGTGGGGCGAGATTAGGAAAACATTTTTAGGGGGAGCTTTAGTTTTATATGTGTTTAAGCATTATTGTTTATCTGAAGTTTGAGTTCACTGAATATAGCACTCAGTACTTTGCTAGTCTTGTCTGTGACTGCAGATGCACCGCCTCACCCACAGTGGTCCCTCTCCAGAACGCCTGTCATTCCTTGCCATTAACGTGCTGTGTTTTGTTCCCGTGGAATTTCTCCTTCTCTTTAATCTCCTTCTCTTCTACTGGTCACAGAATGTCACACTGCCCCCTGACAATTCTAGACTTATTTCCTACGCTCACCTTGTCTAGATTATTGTCCATTCCCAATCATGCCATCCCTCTGATGGGATTCCTTAGACTCAATGTCTTTAATTTGACATAGTATTTGTATTGATTTTCTGTGATTTGTCGTGGCTATTGATTTTTTTCTTGTATGAATGGATCATCTCCTATCTTGATTGTAGCTCTATATGAACAGGGATCATATCTTTTCATGCTTCATATGCCTGGTATAGTGCTGTGCACAGGTAGGCACTGCATACTGCTTGTTAATTAAATTGAATCAATTTTATTTATAGGAAGTTGTATTAAGAAACAAAAACTTCTGTTAGATGCATGGAAAATGTTACCATGAAGCAAGAAATGGATTATTTGCTGACAGGATTTTATTATCATTAGATTCTAATGTAGATAAGTAAATAAAGATAGTGTTTCTACTTGAGTCGTTTTTGCACTGTGTGGTGATACAGAGGATTCGTTCATTGTGTTTCCAAATTTAGAATAAATGCTATCTCTTGCTTTTGATATATTTCAAAAGGATGGAAGAGAAGACAAGGTGTTTCTAAAGGCCTTCATCGCCTAAATATAATGCACTTTTAGAATCTATTTAAGCTTTGTAAACATCAGACCTGTTATAACAAATTTCAATCTTTCCATACATTAAAGATGACCATGGACTTTTGAAAGCACTTAGATATATTCCACTGC